TGTGTGTCTCTCTCTCTGTCTCTCTCTCTCTCTTGCTGTGTGTGTCTGTGTGTCTCTCTCTCTGTCTCTCTCTCTCTTGCTGTGTGTGTCTGTGTGTCTCTCTCTCTGTCTCTCTCTCTCTCTTGCTGTGTGTGTCTGTGTGTCTCTCTCGCTCGCGCTCTCTCTCTCTTTTTCTCTCTCTGTCTGTCTCTCTCTTTCTGTGTCTCCCTCCTTAAATAATCACTGTCCTGTACTTCCTGCCACAGTGCACAATCTCACATTTTCCTACTATTCCATTATCTTCCATCTACCATGCTTTTGCCTACTCCTTTCATCCGTTTATAATCCTCTGTTGATTTTGTCATCCTCAGTATTTGCCTTCCTGCCTGTTCTTGTGACATCTGCAAAATAGCTAGAGTATATTCTCTTGCGTCACTAATATACATTGTAAAAAATAGTGGCCACATCACTGATCCATGTGGCACTCCATTCATTACAAGTTGCTGTTGTGAAAATGCTTCCTTATCCCAACCCTGTCTTCTATTAGTTAGCCAGTCTTCTGTCTATGCTAATGCACTGTCCCCAGCACTATGGCTCATCACTAATTGAGGAGCCTTATGTGTAGTATCTTATCAAATGCCACCTTGAAAATCAAAATGTATTGTATCTACTCGTTCCCTTTTATCTACCCTGCTTGTTACCTCCTCAAACAATAGATTTCTCAGACCTATTATAAAATTGTCAATAGTGTAAATCTTATAGCCGTTGTCAGATTTTTATTTTTCCTGAATATTTTTAGTGTAATTATTGCACAATAAAAGCAGGAGTGTAGTAATATGGACTCATGACTCAATATCATCCTTTTTACACAATTGCATGAAGTCAAGATTGACCCTATTTAAAAACTTTTCCCCTGAAGTGTTCTAAACATTTTATTGTATGTTTTATGCAGTTTTGCCACTTAAAACCGTTAGTTTTAATAATGCACAACTCCAGATTTTTTTTTTAGTAGCGGTATATTTAGAATGTTCTTCTTTCAGGGTAAATATAACAAAGATTTCTTTCAAGAGGAAACGTTTCTTCATTCAGTTAAGGGAAAAATCTGTAAGTACTCTACACTGAAAAGGCATTTATGTTGTAATCAATAGATGCAGTTATGTAGCAGATCTCATGTACAGTGCAAATTGGAGTGTATACTGCTTTATAGTATTTGGGAAGTTCATACCGTATAGGTAACCATAACAGGATCAGCAATTGCAGTGAGTGAATGCCAGTTTACATTTATACATGTTGGTATTTGACAATTTTTGCTGGTGCTTTTGTGTAATAAATTTGCAGCTTTTATTTACTATATATAAAATATGTATTCCCATATAATTATCTTTTATATACTTTATCCTTTCTGAATTGTAAAACTGAAAATATGCAGCAGTTGTGCCATCTAAGAGATTGATATATGGTAATCAGTACTGCCTGGGTAGGGGTGGGTTTAACAGCATGCACTTTGCTCGTGCTGAATGATATGAGGCTTTCACAACCTAAGCATGCTGGAGTGTACCATCATGGGAAAGATCTTCTGTAACAGTGCAACATTGGAAGGTGAAACAAACATATGACCACAATGTGACAAAATAGTCCTGACATTTTGTAGCACTAGGGTGAGATTAACTTTTCACTCACTGGTGGATAGCTGGAATTTTTAAGTGAAGAGTGAGGAAACTGAATATTAGATGGGGCGGTTGTCATATCCAGTCTCTATCTCTGCAAACATTGTTTACTGTTTAATGATCATTTCTTAGAAATGGTAAGATGTTAGTTGCCTTCAGAGATTCATGACTGGTTCCAGATATCTACGAAAAGGCAGCCTGAATTTTAAGAACATAATCCATAGCCAGACAATTATCAAAACTTAATGTAGTACAAGATAATCCAATATGTGTCACGTGGAAAATTGTGTGAATTCTAACAAGAGAAAGGTGGTTGAGATGTTCTTTTAGCAATATTTTTGGTTCAACACAACTTTCTACAACCATAATTGAAGATGTCTAACTTTGCTAATCTATTCATTAAATTGACAGAATGAATCTCAAGAGAGTGTTATTGGATTTAATATGCTTAATTATAGAGCATGTAAAGTTCTTTGGAAATCATGTGTAGACCATCACACGTTCTTTCAAGCAAAGAAGCCACTACCTCGAGAGAAAAAAATACTCTCAAACTATTTTACACTAGGCCACAGAAACCAGAACAGGTTTGTTTGCATTCATAATTTTTATAAGAAATAATCTTTAACTGTTTGCAGAGATGTGCATTTATCCATGTAACATTCTGTATCTGCAATGACGTACAAAGCTGAATTTGTTAAACTGTTTTAGAATTAGTGGACTTCTTAACTCCCATGATCACCCTTTTATATATGGAGCACAGTCCATTCTGGATATTGTCGAGTGTGAATGGACTTTAGCTAACACATGGGAAAGGAAGAAACACTGACGACTAATACTTGTAATCTTTCCCCTATTTTCACTAACTTTTTGGTCCTAGTTCATGCATTCATCTTGATTGCACAGCAACAAAATGCAAAATTAAGACTCGAACAAAGATTTACCTCTGCGGTATTTTTTAAACAGGTTTTCGATGTAGATATACTTGGATATTAATAAATTTATTGTTCAAATTATTTCATTTCAAATACGTTGCGTTTTAATTCACGGCAAATTTGTGGAGACATAAAATACATGAAAAGAAACATAAGGGCAGAGATATTTAGTTCAGATGTGGAAGCAGTGCTTTAACCAAGTTTATTGATGGTAGAATGAAGTATGCTGGCTAGAATTACATCAGAGTGATCATATCCAGAGATAACAAAGGTGTGAAGCAGAGTTTCAGAAAGAGGGAGGTGAGGCAGAGAACACAGGAATAGGTATTGTCCATTCATCTTCTTGAGCCTGTTACGCCATTCAGTGAGATCATGGCTGATCTCTGGCCTAACTCCATATACCTGCCTTTGGCCCATATTTCTTAATACCTTTTAACGTAACAAAAATTCACCTATCTTAAATTTAAAATGGACAACTGATGTAGCATCAACTGACGTTTCTGGAAAAGAGCTCCTAACGTCTCCTGAGTAGCCTGACCCCAGTTTTTTTTTAAATAGGCCCCCTAGTTCTAGAATCCCTGACCAGTGGAAATAGTGTATTTTTATCTACGCTGTCTTTTCCTGTTAATATCTTGAAGACTTTGATCAGATCACCCCTTAGCCTTCTGAATTCTAGAGAAGACAGGCCTAATTTGATAATCTTATCTCATTACATAACCCCTGAAATCCAGGTATGATTCTTTGCAAGCCTACATTGTACTCCCTCTGAGGCCAATATCACCTTCCTAAGATACAAGGTAAAACAATGGTAGAGATGTGGAAATTGGTGACCTGTATGAAGTTGTGGTTAGAAATTCAACACTCAGCTTGTGAACACCCTGGATAAACCTCCAATTTACAGGAAGTGTTACAGAGTCAGTGGCCATGGAGCAGAGTTTGTGGTGATGACCAAGAGTGATGAATTAATAATATTTAATTAAAGTGAATTTCTGCTCCTGCACTTTATATTGGACAGGTAGTCTGCTGATTTAGAGGGGCCAAGCGACATAGATAGAGTTGGTTTGATCAGCACATATATGGAAACTGCTGTGTTTTCAGATGAAGCCTGAAGGGGCAGCATTTAGATGCAAATTTGGGAGGTTAAGATGGTTCTTTTGGAACACCAGAAGTAAAAGTTGGGTGTGGGATGAAAAGGCATTGCTGGTGATTCTCTCTCGATGTTTAGAAGTTCAAATGCAGTCACACTTAGCTGGACAATGGCAGAGAGGTTTTTGCAGAAGAGGGTTATGTGATTAACTATGTCAAAAGTTGCAAGCAAAACAAGGAGGGATAGTTTTCCTTCATCACAGTCATATCAAGTGTCAGCTGTTTTGGTACTGTGACAGAATCAGAAACCTGATTGAGGGATATACACATGAAGTTCTGTAATGAAGGGAACACACTTACGTTCTTTTAAAAAAGAAATATCCAAGGACTTTGGACAGGAATTAGAAATTGTAAATAGGACTTGGAGTTTGTGAAAGTAGAGGATTCAAGGTTTTTTGTGATGAGGTTGTGATGGTTTTACACTAAACTTGTTATTTAAAAAAGAGGGAATAAGTTTTGAGTCTCCAGCATTTATTTATATCTTTGTTTGCCATAGGGCTATTAACAATCAATTCTGTCATCGTGTCATTGGTGGCATGGTCTGGAATCCAAGGTTAAGAAAGTCTGTATCACTTGAACAGCTGGAAACCAGAAGTCTACCTTCACGCTCTCCACCATCCACACCTGATTGGTAAATAACTTAATAAAAATATTTTATCCCACAATAGTAAGCTAACATATTTAATGTGTGCAACTGAAATAAAGGCAACAGCACAACAGGCATTCTAATATGCTGTACAAGAGCAACAGGACACTTGATTGATACCAATTTCGTTGCAGTATGTGCCTAAAAATCCACATTTTCCTGAAATAAAATGCCAGAGGTGACATTTTCCCATTCAACCAACACAGCTCCCCAAATGCGGCTGTAAAGTCACATTGCTTATGTCCTAATGACCAGTCAGCTGTCTTCCCCCTCAGTTTTTAATCAAACTGTTCAGACATGTTGAAGCACACTTTGAGGGCACTTGAACCCAGACCTACAAACCCAGAGTTGGGACAGTACCACTGTGCCTTCTCAGCTAGGATAGATACTTTTAAGCAATCTGTTATTCTGGAGAAGGTGGGATTGATCATAGGTCTCCCGGCTCAGCAGTTACAATTCTACCACAAGAGCCCACTCTCGCAGCTCTGCAAAGTACCAGAGGGAAATTAAGAAAAAATGTAGAACATTTGCTTTTACTAACAAATTATTTATACAAGTTTGAATATAGAAGCTGTGGCCCTGAGCATATTGCTTGTAGGAGTCTGTATTTGGACCCAAGCCCACATGAAGATTAGAAGCTCAAATTCCACAATTCTGCACCCACGAAGATGCGGACAATTAACTAGAAATTATCACATTGAGATGCCCCAAGCAAATAGGGAACAGGTGCATTAGACAAGTATAGAACAGTAAATTCTTATGTAGTACCTGGCTAGATTTGTATTATCATATTAATCAACTCCATAAGATTAATTACATATTCTACCCATCACCCTTTGTGGATGGAGTGATGGTGGAAAATAATTTAACTTTTGCTTTTTGGAAGAATAACAAGAAATGTAGCTGGCACAGAGTTATAACTCTGACAGTTTATTTTTCTATTTGTATAACATCTGTCTTCTCAAAGCTGCACAGTGGTGTGATATTCCTTTGAACAGGATGGGTCCAAAAAAGGACTCATTCACCAAACAATCAAACAATTGCAACAATTTTGAAAGTGATAATCTTCGCTCAAAATGTGTTTTTTCTAATTATTCTACAGCCCCATTTTATCAATGTTATCAAGGTTGCAGCTTGACCTGTGTACCACGTTTAGAGAGGCACGGTATTTGGAGAGATTGACGTAAAAGAAATGTCTAACTTTAGTTCAACTACTGAAATCTCACAATGGATTGCATACCCATTCCACTTTTTCATTATAAAATAGTTGTATCTCACAATGCACTCTTTTATTGCAATTACCATGCAATTTCTGATTGTCTTGCAAGTTTCCAAATATTCACTGGATGGTTAATAGGATAGATATCTGTGGCATTTCCCGGAATTAATTTGTATGGATTTATAACGACTTGACATGCGAGTCCCCCACCCAAGTGATCTGGTTCTGCAGATGTACCACTAGGTGGGGTAAAGTTACTGGGAACCTGTCTCTCAGGATTGTTAGTTGTTATATTTCAATGCACTTGTGATAGTGATTGTTTCAAGATGCACTTGATCTCAATTGTTTATTCAAATAAATGTTTGAAATGTACTGTATGTAGCTATTTCATGCAGATATTGTTACAGTACCAATTCATGAAACATATTTTACTTCCATTAAAATGGAATGCATCTCAGTATAAAGAAAAATGCGTGTACCAGGGACATCCACTATAGACCTCCAAAGTCTAGAATTTTTGTGAAAATGGATTAGAGATAATCTTGAATTGCTAAGGCAATGGACTAGACTGTGGTGTTAATTCTCCATGCAAAGACACCAGAGCGATGCCTTACATTTCTGTGGCTATCTGACCAATCTGTCAGAGGTCTAGAAGAAGGAAGAGAAAGTCTAGCTAGGAGTGGGTAGTAAAAAGAGTTTGAGTATCGCTCCATCCTGAGCAACATTTAGGTGCTATCCTCCATTCCCCGCCCCCCCACCCCACACTTTCCTATAAGACTGACTTTAAAGAATGACTCCCAAAAATCGTGGGCCTTAGCTTGTCCTCTTAGGAAATTCTCACTGCCACTGTTTGGCCCTGCACCGACCGCTGATTCTGTTCCTGCTGACATAGATACAGGAAATTTTGTTACAAGTTTATTTTTTCATCTAAACATTTCTGAAATCTTCTAAGTACTCGGCATAAATTTAATACTTTACTGAGAAATGTGCTGTCAAATGATCAATTGATCTAATAAAGACTTCACTCCTTTGTTTTACCAATAGGCCAAGTCCAAGATTGAGACATGATGCTCAAAAGCCAAGACATTCTTCTGTAGATAACCTTGCCACTGAGATGGCATATATCACAGAGAGTGAAGAAGTGTTTTATAACTACAAGGCAAACATTCCAGCTTTTGAAAATAAAAAGGATAAGGAGGCCTGTCCAAAGCATGCATCACACAGCTGGTATGTTATTTAAGAGTTTCATTAAACAGTACAAAATTAACTGTTAGTTTAAACAAGGGGAAAGCCATACGTTATAAGATTATAATATATTTTTTCACCTAGCCATATATGTAGAATCTTGGATGTTAGAATAATCTTTGAGAATTTTGCAATCGACTCTGAAAAATATTTGATCCAAACAAGGAACGTCAATTTAATCTTGTTGCTTTCTCATCTCAATGAGTCATTTCAGTTTCTCAAATTCTCTTTCAACAGATCAGAAACCTTTCTGCATAACAATCTGATTCTCAATTTATTTATTATTTGAAGTGATCTTTTCATTCCGAGGCAATTCCAGCCTGGGTGGATTTGGAACATGAAGGAAATATCATGCTTCAAACTTCAGATTCAACCATAGTCTGACTTGTAGCCTGTTAACAAAATTCACTACCGGAGTCATCTCATCAACTGGGGCTCCTTTTGAACACTCAATGAACTGAATTGATTAGATTCTGGGGGGGAAAAAAATTACCCATTCCTTTACACTGTCCTTTGAGTCTTTTTATGTACTCCTCCAGCTTATTGTCCCCTCAGCAAACTTGGATGCGTTACACTCAGTCCGTAGGTGTAATTTGTTCAGGTGGATTGAAAATAGCTGAGCCCAGTACTGATCCTTGCTTTTGGTATGGCTTTCTTCCGCGGTCTTTCACTAGAGAATGTTCAAGGTAGTGCACACGAGAATGGTCAATGGTGACGCTAGATATCCCACTATTAGGTTTAATCCACTGGCTTGAAAAAGCCCCGCATTATGATTGATCAGGGACTCTTTTTTCTACTTGAAAAGAAATCCTACTACCTTGTTTAAAAGTACATCACAGGTTCCACTTTTTAAAAAAACAATGATTAGATATAATGGCTAGTTACGTAGGCTGTGATTTCCAATGATTGGCAGACCATATCAAGTAATGTGTCATAGGCCACACTGAGCAGCATACTAACTGTGCTGAACCAGTCTGTATTTGTAAGTCTCTGAATACAATGTCCAAACTTAGATTTTGTTCTGCTATCGGACAACAGCACTGCTGCCTGTCAGTGCTAGGGACCCAGGTTTGATTCCACGCTCGGGTGACTGTGTGGAGTTTGCACGTTCTCCCCATGTCTGCGTGAGTTTCCTCTGGGTGCTCCGGTTTCCTCCCACCATCCAAAATATGTGCAAGCTAGGTGGATTGGCCATGTTAAATTGCCTGTAGTGTTCAGGGATGTGTAGGTTAGGGGGATGGGTCTGGGTGAGATGCTCTTAGGGGGCAGTATGGACTTGTTGGGCCGAAGGGCCTGTTTTCACACTGTAGGGATTCTAAGTCTAAATCTAAGAAAAAATTAAACATTTATTACACAATACTGACTGTTGTCATGAAAGATTTCTAAACATCATTATTAGAGTTTGGATTTTAAAATAGTGGTTTATAGGATTTGTTAGCTTTTTGGAAAGATTTAAAAATAGCTAGGTCAGACAGTCAGTCTGAAATCTGTGCTATAACCCAGAATGTATCAGAGGGCAGTGATCCCCAAGAGTATTGATGGAAGTGTGTTTATGCTGTAGTGGTTTACAACAGGTGGGTGTAAACATCGAAGGCCATTGGCTTGTTTTTAGTTCAGGGTAATTGAGGATTGATTGTAGTTTAGGAAACCCAAAGATGGAAAGCTTTTGGGGCAGTTCGATGGAAACCTGTCTGTAGTCAGAAAGCAGTATAGTTGCTCTTCTAGATAATGGAACAGCTCAGGGAAGCACATTGCCTCATGTAATAGTTTAGGTTGCAAAACTTCCAAATCATGAGTGTTTAATTAGAAATTTGCAGGTTACTAAGCTGTCTCTCCTCAGTAAGAAGGCTTCATAGTTCACAAAAAGAACTGGAGAGAAATCAGTCAAATTGAAATTAAAAATTTGACTGAGGGATAATTTCTCTGAATTTGAGTTATGTTACAGATAACATTGGGAAACAGGATGCGACTTTGCTTTGCTGTGTACTTTAACATCTTTCAAACTGTTTATATACCCAGATTTTCTTTTTTGCCTTTTTTATAGTAAACTTCTGTTGCTCAAGTAAATCTGCAGTCTCATGTAACTGTTTTAGTGCATGAGCACCACATTGAGTAAAACTAAAAAAAATCTATCAAGCCAGATTTAATTCTGGTATCTGACTTGTTCAGTCGTACAATCATTTGGGAAGCTGGAATCAGAACACTGTGGAATGAATTACACTGGTAATCCTAAATTAAATAGTCCAGTCAGGCTGCAGTGCTATGTCATTAGCTTCTATTATGTGCAATAATTATTTACATGAACCTGCCCTTCGTGGACAAAATGCATATACTGAGACTTGTCCCTTTACTCAGTGAAAAAGTGCATTGGAGACAGCAAGGCCCCGCTACATTGCTATGGTAGTGTCCTGTCTCAGAGTAAACCTGCCAGCTTTGCATTTAATCAGTTAACTAGATAACTAACAGTTTCTATTGTATCTCCAGGCCAACCAAATTTCAATGAATTAGTATCTTCTCATGCTGTATAAGTTGTTCTTTTTGTTCTGCCATTTTTATCTTTTTGCATTTCAGTCATGACAAGTGCAGGAAGAAACAGTTAACCTTCATGTCACTTTTTTAGGCAATGTTCAAGTTCTGTACTAAAACAGTTACTTAGATACATAATTCTAGCAGTTATTTACTGCTATATGGAAAGACACAAGTATGCTACAATCTTCGGGAGAATTCTTCTTAACTCCAGCAATTCTCAGAGATACTTTCATTTATCATCCCTCTCTAGGCTATAAAAGCCTCAAGCCATTGTTCTGGTTACATTTTCGATATTTGCCAACAAATTCAACAGATTAATTTATTTTGCAATAAAACCCTGATCCCTGCTGTAGATTCTCCCAGTAGTTTCAAACTAGGCAAGCTTCCAGCTTCTATTTCCTCAAAAAGTTAAAATAGAAATTTGACTTCCGTTGCCTTTGACAGTTACTGAAGTCTGTTTTTCTTTTACTGTGCAAACAGTGCAGCTTTGTGTGCCGTATCACTTACTTTGCCGAGCTAATGAGATGCAAATCACATTTCGTCCAAACTGCACTAACTTGTACACCAAATCCCAGATAAATTGAAACCAGAGACCTTCTCGAGCTCCTCCAATTCATGACAACATAGCCTGCTCTGAGCTGTCTGGTGATGTGTGTGTGTGGCAGCAGTTGACAGAGTATGGCATCAAGGGGCAAAAATTGACTCAATGGGAATCTAATTTTCCACTATTTGAAGTTGACCTGGCACAAGAAAGATTTGTTGTGGTTATTGGTGGTCAATTATCTCAATTGCAGGTCAACACTGCAGTACTTTCTTAGGATAATGTCCTGGGCTCAAACATCTTCAGCTGTTTTGTCAATAGCTTCCCTTTATCATAAGGTCAGAGTGTTGATATTCGTTGATGATTGCATAATGTTCAGGGCCATTTGCACGTCCTCTGATGCTGAAGCAGTCCTTGCCCATTTGCAACAAAGCCTAGACAACGTCCAGGCTTGGTCTAATAGAAGAAAGGCTCTAACCTGCTCTCCTTGATGTTTAATAGAATTACCATTGCAGAATCCTCATTGTCAACATCCATTTATTTCCCCTTCATAAAACCATTTTTGGTCCTTTCAGTCATATAATTTTGAGCTAACAGAAACAAATTGCTGGAAAAGCCCAACAGGTCTGGCAGCATCTGTGGAGAGAAACCAAACTTAACGTTTCTGGTCCAATGACCCTTCCTCAGAACTAATTTGATTTATTATCACGTGTACTGAAATACAGTGAAAAGCTTTGTTTACGAGTGGTACAGGCAAATCATAGCAAGTAAAGGATGTGCAGATCAAAAAGACTTCGAGGCATACAGGATATATTGCACAGGACGCAATATCACCATTAACAAGATCAGCAATATTTGAGGCTAGAGAGTCCGTTCATCAGTCTGATAAAGGCCAGGAAGAAGCTGTTCCTGAACCTGCTGGTGCGGGTGTTCAGGCTTCTGTATCTTCTGCCTGATGGAGGAGGTTGTAGGAAATCATTACTAGGTATGATGGGTCTTTGATGATGTTGCCTGCCTTTCTGTGCCAGCGAGCCATGTAAATGGAGTCCATGGACTGAAGGTTGGCTTCCATGATGGTCTGGGCCACCTTCTGTAGTTTCTCATGGTTCTGGGCAGAGCAGGTGCCCATACCAGGTCATTATGCACCCAGACAGTATGCTTTCAATGGTGCATCCGTAGATGTTGGTGAGGGACCTTATGGACATAACAAATTTCCTGAGCTGCCTGAGGAAGAAGAGGCATTGTTGTGCCTTTTTGACTGTCGAACAAACATGGGAAGTCCAGGACAGGTCATCGGTTATCGTCACTCAGGAATTCAATGCTGTTCATCCTCTCAACCTACGTTCTGTTGATGCAGATGGTGACATGTTCTCCTTCTGAAGTCAATGATCAGTTCTTTAGTTTTGACGATGTTGAGAGACAGATTGTTTTCATTGCACCACATCACCAAGCCCTCTAGCTCCCTTCTGAAGTTTGACTGGTCATTGTTGGATATCCATCCCACTATGGTAGTGTCGTCAGCGAACTTGTAGATGGTGTTCATTTGGAATTTGGTAACACAGTCGTAGGTATACATGGAGTACAGCAGGGAGCTGGGGATGCATCCTTGGGGGAGCTCCAGTGTTGAGTGTTATTGTGGAGGATTTGCAGTTACCCATCCTCACTAATTGCAGCCTATAGGTCAGAAAGCTGAGGATCCAGTCGCAGAGGGTGGAGCCAAGACCAAAGTGTCTCAGTTTTGAGATCAGTCTGGAGGGGGATAATGGTGTTGACTACAGCTCCGCCTTCAATGAGCAGGAGACCTTGATGTCTCGATGTTCCGGGTACAAGTGCAGGGTTAGGGATATGGCATCTTCTGTACACTTGTTATGTTGGTAAGCAAATTGTAGGTAATTGAGGCAGGCTGGGAGAC